TTTGTAATTTAGTATGCCCCGATGCCTGCATCGGACTTTTCAATTTGTAATGCAAATAAGAATCATTGTACAAAATTTATAATTTCATTATATGAACACAATGAATATCAATGATAAATAATATGCAGTTAAAATTTTTAAATATGCTGACTTGATTCTAGGGTTTGTTGCTTTTTAAAACCTGGTTTTGAAAAACCAGTTTTTTGAAGAAATTTATATAATTTGAAAACTGGGTTTTCCCAAGTGAAAAAAAAAACTGGTTTTTGAGCCTACACTTAAAACATAAAAATTATTTGATTTAAAAACATCAACATTTTGACACAAAATCGTCTCTGGCATAAAACAGGAATATTGTTAAATACTAAGTTTTATAAAACTAACTACAAGACAAAAAAAATTCCTCTATGCCAAAAAAGCATCCAATTGGATCAATTCAAGCTCTAAATGAGGCAGTTGGGACCTTATCAGAGCTGTAGAGCATATCCATAGAAGAAAAATAGTCAAAGGAACCATACTTCTACAAGCCACTCTTCACAAGTTACAGCCCCCCAAAATCAGGTCGCGCGAGATCAATTACAATATCTTCAAGAACTTTAAAAGGTGACTTTGTCGAACTGTAAGACACTAAAGGAGGAGATTTTAGTATTAGAGGGTACAAACAGAAGAATGAAAAATTTAGATTTATTATTTAATGCTTTAACGGCCTACCTGGCCACAGTGTCTTTTTGAAAATAAAATAAAATTTAAAAAAAAAAAAAGACAATTAAACCCAGCTCAGTAGCAAGTGAGTTTTTTTTTCTATTTCTGGCAATTTTATGTGCTAAATAAGGACACAGTTGAGCAATAGATCTATAGACGTTCTTTGCTTTCTAAAATCATATTTTCTTAGGAAAAATAAGAAATATAAAAATATTTTGTATACATTCATTGTTATTCCTTTTTATGATTTTCTATGCAGTAAATTTTATAGTTTAATGTGATATTCTAGCTGTTTTGTTTTGTGTAGACATTGGTCGATTTTATTTTGTTATATTTTTGAAATGTTATAAATGTTAAGTAAATTCAAAACTTTTAAAATAAATTGTAAATATCCCTTATCTTCATTTTTTGGGGTAAAAATGAGAAAACCAATTTCGTAGAAAAATTGAGATTCAAAAACAGTTTTTTTAAGTCTGTTTTTGCATAAACCCTACTTGATTCACAATTAAATTGATTCATGATGTATTACATTCAATAGCAACAAATCAGTTTAGCTGTAAATCAACAGTAAACTTCAATATAAAACTTTATAATTTAAGAATAGACTTTGTGGTTAAATTATATAAAAATTGATGTTTGAGTAAATTTATTATTTTTAATTTTGAAGGCTAAAAGAGGAGGAAATTATCCAAAAATATTTCTTGGTGGTCTTCCTGCCAATGCTACTGAAACAGAATTAAGAAGTTTTTTTGGGAAATATGGAAAGGTAACATTGAAATTTTGTAGAATGGTGTCAAAATTATGTATCATTAATAAAACCTTTTTAACTATAGAATTTGTTTTTAGTTTTTAATAATATATAATACTAAAGGACAAAAATAAATATTAGATTAAGAAAATTTCTAGAGGTTTATTAATACTTAACAGAATATAAGAGAATACACATTGAATTTAGGAATATCTGAAGAGAACTAACTATTTGAAAGAGAAAATGTAATAGTAACAAGTTCACTAAACTTATATAAGAAAGAAATACAATATAAAAAGCAACTTTAATTTTGTTATACATTTAATGTCGGTAGGGGGAAAAATTCATTATTATGAACAGAGTTTTATTAATACTTTTAAATTAATGAAATATTTAATAGTGATATTATAAATACCTCAGATTCACTTCCTATATTTTCTGTTGTATATTACATTTCATTCAACAGTTTTGCTTATAGTGGGTATTTTTTTGTTAGTGCCTATTTTTACATTATATTTAAAGTAAGTTGTGTGTAATTTGTGAAGTTCATTGCAAAATACTTCAGTAATCCCTTTTTTATTAAACTATAATCATCCCTAATTCTTTCAAATGTTGAATTTTTCTTAAATTGAAAATGTGTTTGTCTATGTTTTGGGTCACACTGCCTGTTCAAAATTTGCGGTTTGCAAAAACTGTATTTATCTGGCAATTGGAGTTGCAAATAGCCACAGAGCATTCTGCAAAAAAATCACTGTTTTCACCAAGAGTATCACAGAACCTGAATCAGTCTTGGTCCAGTACAATTTTATTTTTAATGAACAAAAATAAAGTTGCTTGAGAAACTTATAAAAACTGCTTTTATATATGTGTGTCTGTTATCCTTTCATTTCTGATTAGTACAGGAAGCCACAGTAAGTGAAAAAGTAACCAAAGAATAACTGTATTTTGACTAATAATAATAATAGTGTGTTTGGCAAATGGATTGGTGATTGCTGTAAAGAGTCAGGGTGTCTTGGTTTTTATTTTTTTAGATTTACTTACTGTTAAGTTTTTTGTCTAGCTGATGATAGATAAATGAGAAATTTGTAAAAAATTATATTTCATGAACAATATTTAAACTATATTGAAATTTTCACTTTTAGGTAATGGAAGTTGTAATTATGTATGATCAAGAGAAGAAGAAATCCAGAGGTAAGATTTGATAATAAAGCAATTTTAAGGTACTTTGCACACCAGTTCTAGCTTTGATGCATGACTGAGATGGTCAGATAACTAATATTAAAATATTAGAAAATAGAGTTATATGAATTATATTAAGTTAATGTACAAAGTTAAAGTAGATTTTATTTTACCGTATTTTACTCAAGGTGATTTTTAATGTAGTTTTGTTCTTTGCTTATAGGTCCCTGAATAAGGGCTGTTTGTTTAATCCTGGTCTGACACAAACAACTGTTTTAAATATAAATTTAATAATTTAAGTGGTATAATATTAGAGCATGCCTTTAATTAGAATCACTTAAGTTTAAAAATAGCTTATAAAAATTTTGGATGTTTGTTCCCTGTTGCACTGTCATATTTGGCTGTTTTGTGGAAAATGAATATTTGATTTATAAAATCAGTGGTATATGGGAGAGGAACATACAAGATTTTTTAATAGTAATCTAATAATGATAAATTTTAATATAAAATATTTTTAAATTAATAGTTGGCAAAAATAGTTATAATTTGAAATATAGATTGCTTTTAATTTAATAAAATTTAAATTAATTTTAGTTATGGGTTATAAATTTTAAATTACAACTTTAGCATAATTAAATTTATGTAAGTGAAAACTTGTATAGTTCTAGTTATAGTAATTTGATAAATTATGAAATCAAAAATTACAAGGTCTGAGTGCTCTTGCCTAGTATAAGCTTAAATATAAGTTTTTATTGTTGGTAATAACACTGACCTTGTACTTCCCTTTGAAGGCTTATGAATTTAACATCATATTGCTACAGAATTTCTGCACAGTTTATAAAGATATTTGAGTCACTGTTTAAGATTTGTTATAAAACATTTACATATTATACCAATCACAGTAGTTTGTGTCAGTCATAGGAATATTAAGTAGATAAGTTTGCTTCCTTCCTCTCCATATGGCATTAGGGTTTGGATTTTTATCATTCGAGACCGAAGACAGCATTGAACGAGTTTGTGCCGAACATTATGTCACCTTCAACGGGAAGCAGGTGTAGTGTTACTTATTTATCATTTACCTTTTCTGTGGATAAATTTTTTGCCCAATCCATCTCTCATGCTTTGGCCGACATACATCTAGTCGTCGTAACAATGAATCTACAGTAAGCAAACTTATATGGTCAGATAATTTAATTAGACCTAAGTTGATGTCTGTAGATTTCTCTGTATAAGATAGTTATTTCCCTAGTTAGGAAAAGAAACAATTTTGGTTTTTAATATAGTTATTAAGTATTAATTAGTAATAAATAGAATAACTTTAACATTATTTAAAAATTTGATCCCTTAAAATTTATTATAAGAATTCTTTAGTTAAGCCTCTAGAATAAAATTAGAAGTTGGAAATAATTATTTTTTTATAATTATTAGTTTTAATTGAATAAGCATGAGAGAGTGGTTTGTTGAGACTGAATTGATTCAGTGTCAGCAATTTTGATAGAAAAGATCTAAAATTGCACTTCTAAAAATAAGATAAAAATATTTTAAATTTTTCACATAAAATGCACTGTTCAAAAGAAAAATTCGTTTGAAAGATAATTTTAATAATTACTGTTTAAAATTGAAACTGAAATTAAGCATGAATGTAATGAAGATATTTTAAAGTAAAAATAGTAGATATTGTAAAGTAGTAAAAACTAATTAATAATGTTTAGTTGATGATCTGTAGTAATGATTTGCTGTTCATTTGAAAAATTTACTTAAAATACAACTTTTATTTGAAGTTTGTTTTTCAAATGTGGAAAACATTTTGAATATTACTGTGAAAATCAATTTTCATTTTTTAAAACTATTTTTATAACAGTTTTTTTTTTTTTTGCTTAAATTGTTTAAGTAGTAATTTAGCATATTGTTAATTCAATTTTTATGATAACATTATATTACTTGGATGAATCAATATTCTATTATACATTGCTTTTCATATTAACCAGACATTTTACTTGCATTGTATACAACAATTTTATGACAAATTGACAATTAAAGATGGAGATTTCTTTTTCAACTCAATGTGTACTTTAACCTGTCCTGCGTGTGAGATCCTGAATATTTTCGTGTCTGCATCGGAACGTTTTTGATACTAGATGTCGCTGTGTCACAATTTTTATATTAAAACGANATTAGGGTTTGGATTTTTATCATTCGAGACCGAAGACAGCATTGAACGAGTTTGTGCCGAACATTATGTCACCTTCAACGGGAAGCAGGTGTAGTGTTACTTATTTATCATTTACCTTTTCTGTGGATAAATTTTTTGCCCAATCCATCTCTCATGCTTTGGCCGACATACATCTAGTCGTCGTAACAATGAATCTACAGTAAGCAAACTTATATGGTCAGATAATTTAATTAGACCTAAGTTGATGTCTGTAGATTTCTCTGTATAAGATAGTTATTTCCCTAGTTAGGAAAAGAAACAATTTTGGTTTTTAATATAGTTATTAAGTATTAATTAGTAATAAATAGAATAACTTTAACATTATTTAAAAATTTGATCCCTTAAAATTTATTATAAGAATTCTTTAGTTAAGCCTCTAGAATAAAATTAGAAGTTGGAAATAATTATTTTTTTATAATTATTAGTTTTAATTGAATAAGCATGAGAGAGTGGTTTGTTGAGACTGAATTGATTCAGTGTCAGCAATTTTGATAGAAAAGATCTAAAATTGCACTTCTAAAAATAAGATAAAAATATTTTAAATTTTTCACATAAAATGCACTGTTCAAAAGAAAAATTCGTTTGAAAGATAATTTTAATAATTACTGTTTAAAATTGAAACTGAAATTAAGCATGAATGTAATGAAGATATTTTAAAGTAAAAATAGTAGATATTGTAAAGTAGTAAAAACTAATTAATAATGTTTAGTTGATGATCTGTAGTAATGATTTGCTGTTCATTTGAAAAATTTACTTAAAATACAACTTTTATTTGAAGTTTGTTTTTCAAATGTGGAAAACATTTTGAATATTACTGTGAAAATCAATTTTCATTTTTTAAAACTATTTTTATAACAGTTTTTTTTTTTTTTGCTTAAATTGTTTAAGTAGTAATTTAGCATATTGTTAATTCAATTTTTATGATAACATTATATTACTTGGATGAATCAATATTCTATTATACATTGCTTTTCATATTAACCAGACATTTTACTTGCATTGTATACAACAATTTTATGACAAATTGACAATTAAAGATGGAGATTTCTTTTTCAACTCAATGTGTACTTTAACCTGTCCTGCGTGTGAGATCCTGAATATTTTCGTGTCTGCATCGGAACGTTTTTGATACTAGATGTCGCTGTGTCACAATTTTTATATTAAAACGAACTTTTGAAATATAGTTTTTTTGTTGTTGTTATATTTTTCAATATATTTATTTTCTTTGTGCAACATAAAAAAAATAATTTTTAATGACACAGTAAACACGATTGTTATTATTTTTTTAAATTTTTTGTTAGGCTTAACATCAACAAAAATTCAACATGGCAGCACAGGCAACAGAAAAAAATTTCAACATCAAAGAGGTTAAGATAAAATGAATTTGTAGTCATAATTTTAGTTTTGAAACACTTAATCTTTCATTTATAATAAACTAGCAGCTAAGTCCGGCATTGCTCGGGCAAAAAGTGACGATAGCAAAGATTAAGATTATTTACATTATAGCCAATCTTACCTGTTTTCTCATAATGCAAGAATTAGGTTGCCCTGGTTCTAGACTAATTAGAAAATTTTTAGATGGGTCTAAAAATATGTTTGATTTCTCACAAAAACTGCATCTGTGCCTGTAAATCTTGCATGTTGCTTTCTTTTAACACTTCAATTGTTACTTAACCATTTCCATTGTTAACACTTCCCCCGCGGGGGGGATTTCGAAAAAGCCCTTCTTAGTGTATGTTCTCATGATGCACCCTAACTGTGTACCAAATTTCAACTTCAACTCCTAACTGTTTGAGCTCTGCACTTCTTATTATTCGGAGTGGTTATTTCAAAGGGCAATTTTGGCAACTGAAAATAATGTTGTTGACAATATCAACTTTAATATTCAAAAGAAAATTCAGAACTGACAAGAGCTTGACCTCTTAAGTTTGGGCATTGTATAAAATATAAATCAACTTTTTATTAACAAATACATTAAGTACACTTTACACAGTTTTCACACTTAATTTTCGATTTATATTCAGTCACTGTATCACTTTGACTACTCACACTTCACTGCTTGTTTTTATTCACTCACTGCACTACTTTTGGAATTTTCACTTCTTTTTTGGTTCATCCCGTCATCAATGATGATAAACTGATGTTCGAACCCACGATGGATCTTGCTTTATATACCCCCACCAATGGGTAGTCCCACCCATACAAAAAAGGCTTCGAATGGTCCACAATGTTCCAGAACATTCGAGGGTGTTCTGGAATGTTTCACAATGACCCAGGATGTTCCCAAACATTCCAGAACATCTTGGAATATTGTGGAATGCTCTCGAATGTTCCGGATTGTTCTAGAAATTTTTAGAGGGCGAAACTTCCTGCCCTTACATCTTCAACAGCACGCCCATCAGGTAAAAAGGGAACCTTCTTCATGGATGGGGGATATAGGGCTGCCACACGATATAACTCCCTTGATCGTACCAGGACTTGTTTTTGAGTTTTAGCAGCATGCACATTGTACATTTACCTTTATAATATATATTGATGATTATGTAATAACAACAGGTAAATTTTAAAGTCGTGTTATTTTTATTTAAAGTATTTAACTGGCATAAAATATCTTCATTTACGTATTCATGCTAGAGTAAATGAAAATTCCGTGATTAATGATAAATGTTTATAATTTAACAAAAACATGAGTTTATTTGATTGTCATTAATTTTTTAATTTATCAAATTGAAAATATTCTCTAAAATTACATTTTATGTAAATTTTTTTTTGTCTAAAAATTTATTTGAGCAGACTTGATATATTTTCTAAAATTTCTTAATTAAATTTCTTCTGTCTAACTGTTTGTTTGTAATTTAGAAATGTTTACATTTTCTTGTTAAAGAAGTGCATTTTTATTATTTGAAATTTTCATTTAAATTTTATATCATTAAATCTTGTTTTTCTAATACTGTGTTAAACAAAAGATACTGAAGATTTATTTTCCTGATTTTTGTCACGCTCTTTATTGCTTAACTTAACTTAGATCATATATTATAATTCATTTAAGAGTGAACCTGAAGTTATTAAATTTTTACATCTATATAAAATGAACTGATAGATTTTAACAATTCTTAAGCAGTTTTAAATGACTGTCAATTTGTAATTTTTGTAAGATGCTTAATTTAATTAGAAAGGATAACTGTTGTTTAATACTTTAATCATTATTAAAAGTTGTTCACTCATGTAAAGATTTTAGTTCAGTTGATATAATGTCTATAGAAAAGTGTACATGAAACATAATTTAAGAATAATATGTATGTAATATGGATTTGAAATTTACTAATTGCAGTTTTTTTTCTATTTATGTACTAAATTAATCTTATAAAATGCATATGCCATACAAATATTGGTGACCATTTTATCAACTTGATGTTAAATGCGATTTGTAGGTCATTAAACTCTCTTTACATTGTAAACTTTGTACATTGTAGTATATTTTAAATTCCTTGAAAAAAATTGCCTTGAACTATTTGACTTTTCACTTGTAAAACTTACTTTAATTAAAATTTTTGGACTCGGAACTAAAAATTAAAAATAGTGATAACAGCCATTAACTGTTAAAAAATTCATAGAAGAAAGGAGAAATTGTAGTATTAGTTCATAGTATGTATATGTAGTTTAAGAAATTTGATAAATTCATAAATGTTTCTTTTCTTCCACTTTTGTAAAATGATATATTGAATTGAAAAATGGATCATAAATGTATGATCTACTTGATTTCTTGTTTTGGCATGTGCAATTGAGAATATTATATTATAAATCCTATACTAATTGCATTATCCATGTAAGTTACACCTCTTAATAGTAATGCAAATTTTCATCAATATTCAAATATAATTTTACATAAATATGTTTGTTTTTGTATTCCGTTTTAAAAATGATACTGAAGAAGTTTTCATAATTTTTATTATGTTTTGTCATTGGATCCAATTTTGTTTAATTTATATATTTAAAAATGTAATTCATTATCTGAACACAAACTAATAAATTTGGAAGTTGTAAAACAATTTTAAAATTAAGTTTGATGGTTTTAGTCTGCATGCACTCATGATAGAATTAATTAGTACTTCAGTTTAAGAATGAATAGAGTATTTTATTTATTGTAAAAAAATAATGTTTTTTGAAAACCATTTTTATTTATTTATTTAATAAGTTTCAGTTTGAAGATTGCAATAATAGGATAAGTCTCTCTGTATAGTAAATTTCTTGGATATATGTAACTAAAAACTGTTAGTAGGGATTTGAAATCTATATTACGTACGTACTTAACATTTCCATTCGTTCCACGAAGTTAGATACCCTTGACTAGTAGTTTTTTGTTGTGTTCTATTGTGCAGTGCAGACAAATATAACTTCAGGATTTGTCTTAAGTGAAATTTCTATAAATGTCTAAATTATGCCAAAATTTAATTATAGTTTTTTTTTAAATTAATAATTTTAAAACTAGCATTTAAAATCAAATAAGAACTAGTTTAAAGTTGAGAAAATTATTGAAATAGTTATAAAATTTGAGGGAGGATGCAAGGAAAATAAATGTTAAAGATTTTTATGGAATGGTATGATAGTATTGTAGAATATAGTTTATAAATGATATTTTTGAAATATATTATGAATTAATGCTAAAGAAATTTAGTATTGTAGTGATCTGTATGTCTGTCATATGGGAGAAAGTAATGCTTTATTTTAAGACCTTTGTTTTAAAAATATTTTTTTAATATAATTAAAAGTTAATTGAAATTACCTAAATTAGAGAGAGTTTTTTTAATGGGTAAAATGATCTAATTTATGTTTTAGTAATAAAGATTAAACTTATTTATTTGCTCGATTTACAATTTATATTGATTTATCTAAATTTTACATTGATAAGGCATTAAATTAGATTTACATTAATTTAAACATTTATAATTTAGATTAAAATATTTCACACTTGAATAAATATTGATTAGGCTTTTTACAATATGTATTATTTTCAATGCATTTCTGTGTTCCTATAAGTTTGTAATTTTTTTTTATTTTAATTCAGTTTACAATCAAAATATAACAAACTAATAGTGCTGTCTCTTAATTGGAGAGAAAAATAAAATTTACAGACAATTTTCTTTCATTTTAATTGAATTCTAACAAATTAACTTATTGTTGATTCTGTATATTTTCTAAAGAACAAATCCAGTTTATGAAATTTTTAACTAAGATTTCCTTCTCTTTGTAATAGCAAAACAGAAATTAGATTTCTTATAAAATGAAAGGTTTTTAATAATTAATAAAAGAGAGATAATAGCCATTTAAAATTTTTTAAAGTATATTCACCTTGCATTATATTTACTGATTTTGAGGAGAAAAAATTTGACTTTGATAATTTTTTTTAAATCAAATATTTAATGTTAATATTTCTTGGTTTTATATTTTAATCCAAGAAAAATTAAGATAATTTAATTGTTATTTGTCCTGTCTTTTGAGATGTTTATGTATGTGTGCTGCAAAGTATCATATTGGCAGCCATGGATACTGTTCTTTAATCATGATATTTATGAAAATATCAGTGATGCCTTCACAAATCATAAAAATTAATCAAAAGCAAAGAATTGAACTTGTATATCTAAAACTGTCATTGCAGAAAATAATACTGTTAGTACTAACGTAGAAAATAAAAATTTGACTTTTTGAATTATTTTTATGAAGACAGTAAGACGATAAAAACTGAGTGTAATGCAATATCGTATGTAATTAAGACGGTAAAGTTCTTTATTTATAAGAAAATCAATTCTTTTAATCAGAAGTTAAAACTCTTAGTAAACTACATGTGTGCATATTTGTTAGTTTATAATTTTTATATAAATTATAAATGCATTATGATCCAATTTTATGTCAAATATATAAATGTTGAAATACTTCTGATTGTGTGATATAAAGAAAACAATTAAAACATGTTAATTTGTAAACTCTTATCTCTATTAATCAGTGATAGTTTTAAATTTTTGAAGAAAAATATTTGAAAAGTTTTCAGTGATTTGCATCAAATATTGCCAAGAAAGTTTAGCATATTAAGTGTTAATTTTCCTTGCAATTGTTAAGCTGTGAGAAAAGTTAAAGCTGCCAATACTGCAAATGTGTTCATCTGCTAACAGTTTCTACGAGCAAGCATTTTTCTCAAAATAAAAGAAAGCTTAATTGATTTCTAGAGCAAAAAGAAAATTTGGTATTTTGAGATTAAAAATTTATAAACTTACTAGTAGGTGGCTTTTTATCGTGTGCTAATAATAATTTGTCAGTATTTATTTCTTTCAGTATTATTTATACTCATTGTGTAGTGTACTGCAAATGATTGCTTTGCAAAGCTTAGTATTTCGCACACCTTAAATTGTAGTACTGAAAAATTCCTAAATGAGATTTTGTTGTCATCTAAAGTATTTTAAATAACGGTACAATTGATAATTATTAATAAAGTGCACATTCCTTACATGTGTAATTTTGAAATGGTTGAATCTATTAATAATTATCTAAATATTTTTTAATTTTCTCTGTGCATCCACTTGTTTGTTCTCAATTATGAATATGTAGAGAGATTGAGAATAACTTGAGAAACAAGAAAACTGCATACTGTTTCGAAAATTTCTCTTGAATAAAAATAATTATTGATTACAGTTTATAAAATGTGCTCTGACTAATGAGAGAGCTTATTTACTTTTGATTATATGTAGTTCTTATAAGAGAGAGATGAAAATTAAGAAAATGTTAAGTTTTTAATCTTGCTCTACTGTGTAAATATTACTTGAAAGATGTTTAGGAACATCTGTTAGAAATGGCAAGAATTAAACAGAAAGGAAAAACATTAACAAAATTGTTTATTAGAAATAACTGACAATTATAGTTTTAATTATCCTTCTACACATTGAACAATAATTATTCTAATTTTACATGATTAAGTTAAACTTATTTTTATAGTAAGTCCAATAAGAAATATTGAATTGTATGAATCTGAAAGATTTTTATATTTATTCATGATCATAAGTGCTATTCACAAGTTACATGATGATAAATTGTTAAAGTATTTTAACTTCTGAACATCATTTTAATATATTCAGAACTGATTTTAAATAAAAGAATAAACAGCATTCATTACAAGGTACAAAAGTAATTTTTAAATTACTTTTGTACCTTAATAAAGTAATTTTTAAATTACTTTTGTCAAAGAACTAAATTTACAGTTAATACCACTTTCTCCTAATTGTAAGGATGGCTTTTTAGTTAACATTTTTTCTAATTAAGTTCTTCTGTTAGTTTTTGATTAAATTGAGTGTTTACAATGCATAAATTGTCATGAAACAAAAAAATTATTACATTAAAAATTTCTCATGTAGGCTCACAAAATGCTGAATATTGTTATTAAATATTTAAAATCAAAAAGTTTTAGAATGTGTTTCTATTAATGAAAGATTAATAGTTTCATATTTGCCTTTCCAAATGATCATTTACGAATGATTATATTATAATGCAATTATTGCAAATAAATATTTGAAAAAATAATTAGAAAGATTTGTCATCCCAACATAACTGTCACTAATTTGAAATATCTTTTGTTTCTATTCTTCCTGCACACCCTGTGTATATTCACAATAATTGCTTTATACAAGATGTGTCTTGGTAATAATAAAATATTTATATTTGGTGTTGTGTGTTTAGGTGGAATGTAAGAGAGCGGAACCACGTGATTTATCTAGAGGAGCGGCCAAAGGTGCTCAAGTCAATCAAGTTGCAAATCAGTGGGGAGGTCCCGGAATGGGAATGGGAGGAGGACCCGGGTGGGGACCCGGACCAATGGGGGGACCGCCTGGGCCCGGAGGTCCAGCGGGGGGACCTGGAATGGGCCCTGGCCCAGGCGGGCCCGGACCAATGGGGCCTATGGCAAATGGCATGATGTCTGGTGGTTACCAAGGAGGTTGGGGCGGTCCTCAGCAGCAGGGTCCTTATGGCCCTCAAGGTATGTTTAAGTATAAGTTATTTTTGTACAATGTTTTGTGTTTGTTTAGAATACTTTACTTTATCACAAATAATTCCAATATTAAATTAATATTTTTATCTTAGGTGGATGGGGTCCTCAGCCACCAGCCGGTAAATATATTTTACATTCCATATCTAAAAATAATGATAGTTTTTCAGTTATGTTACAGTAATAATTCTTTCTAAACAAATCTAGAAATTTAGTCATATGAATAATTCAATTTCATTTTAAAATAATTAAATGAAATAGTAATTTTAAAAACATTTATTTCAAATTAATTTTATTTTTAAAAAACTGTTTTAATATTGGAGTAAAAACCAAATGTAATTTGATTCTATTTGAAGAAACATAAAATTACATTTAAAGAAAAATAAAATTACATGCCATGCACTATATAATTAGACAAACTTAACTGTGATTGAGATTTGTGTAATTTTAATAATTTAATTTGAATATTAGATTGTGTTTGATGATTGGAACATAATGTCGATATAGATTAAGGTTTCTGGTGGATTTAATGTTGATCTGTTTTAACCGCAATTCAAAATTGCTTTTCTTTTTTATGAAAACAGATAATTTTATATAATTAGACAATATATTTTCATATGACTTTCTAGAAATATTAGAAACTTTGACTTCTTCCATATTCATGCTAACAGATTTAATAATAAGTGAATTTAGTATATTCAAAAATGTTAAAACTTGCCTTAAGTGTTGCTTGATCTATACTTATTATTATAGCTCGAGTGTCAAACAAGGCAGAGATTAAAGTATAGACTTTTGCTTTACAGTGTGATTAAGTTGTACTGTTGCATAAGCTAACGACATCACCCACAACAATTTATGTACTGTCTGTTTCAGGAGACAGGTTTTTTTGAATAAAATTTGAAGAATTTTATTCAAAAATTTTATTCCTCATTTGTGAGAATTACATTCTTCTTTTTATAAATTTAACTTTTTTAGGGGAGGTTGATTAACTTATTTAATCTGAATAATTATCCTTGTTTTTAATTAATCTGAATGGAGACAGAGCTTTAATAGTTTGCAGTTCTTTATTACAGGACATGATTTTGATTTTTTAGGTGAAACTGACTGTTGTCAGAGCAGATGTTATTAATTTGTTGCTGATTTTAATCATGATATTTGACTGATATAATAGAGAAATTTGTTTTTCTGAAATAATTCATTATTGTGTCAATTTTTAAACAACAGTGTAAAGTCCTATTAATAAGTAATGTCCAAGTAGACAATTAAAAATAAAAAAAAGGGTGGTTGGTTGTTTGGACATTTAAACTGCATATGGAAAGTGTAAGATTTGTTTTTATTTTCAACAAAAGTATCTCAATTTTTAAAAACATTTTGAGTAAATCAGAGATGCTTGGGTAACTGCTTTTTGGATTGTTTTAAGAAAGTTTTATCAATTGGATAGGATTTATATTAATTTGCTTTACATCAATTTAACTAAGATATGTTTTGGTTAAAATTTATGTGAAATGAACATAAACATGATTATGCAATTAGTATGATACATATGTATGTTGAAGAGATGATCTTGTTCCCAAATTGCATGATGAAGTCTACGTGGTATTAACAATTAAAAAAATTAAAATTGGTATTCTAACGATAGTTCACTGAAAGTTTTATTTTAGAAGTCTAATAGTAATGTATTTTAACCAGCAACCACATGTGGTAGGACAATTTTCCAAATCTTGCTTTTTTGCCAAATTGACATACTAATGTGTGCTTCACATTATCCTCGTTCTGTGTTATGTATCTTATCTGTAAAATTTTGGCCGGAAAAAATTTTTCATTTATCACAGGCCCTCGAAAAATTAGTCTTATACGTGCAGTTTTTCTTTATTGTTACATGATTGCATGCATGAGGCAGTGAGTTTCTTTCCCCCCTGACATTATGAAAGTGTCTCACAATTGCCACAAGAGATAATTGTAATGTCATGGATGTTTGTCTGCTGTACATGATCTAATGACTTGCACTCTGCAAGCTGCTCCAAGCTTGTCTCTGAGATAGCCCAGAAGCCATGAGCTTCAACAATTAAATGTTTTCTCAGCTTTATTTTGTGCCCAAAAAATACAGAAAAATCATTTTTTGGTCTTTTTGAGGACATCTCAGCTCTCCTGTCATTTATTTCTAGTTGAACCCATTTCACATTAGCTCATGCTGTTTCAAAGTTTGAAGGGTTCCCTATGGGAGCCTAGTTAAGGATGTTATTCTGTAAACTAAATGTATGATGATGAAATTAAAAGTCTTGAATATCTAACTTAATGCTAATCCCTTTCGTCTGTTTCTCACTTGAGGAAGAACTTTATTGTTCAAAAACATTAGTGACAGTTTAGTTTTTTTAGAAAACATACCATTATTGGTTTTTTGGAGGTTAGTTGTTATATTAATATATTGCGGTGTGGTGTTGATGTTTCAACCCTTTTGACTTTTAAAATTGTTGTTTACTTTGAAATATTTGATATTTCGTTGTTTATTTTACAAGCTTAATATATAACAAAATAAAATATTTATCATCATTAAACTTTTAACATGTAAAAATTGTTAGTTCTTATTTTTGGACATGCTGACTTAAAGAAAATCTAGTGGAAATTTATGAAAAGAATAAATAAAAACAACTAATGGGTTTGATTTAAAATATATGATTTTTTATTTTGTGACATGACTATTAAGTATTGTATATGATTACTTACAGGTGGATATGGAGCAGGATATCAGGGTTGGGGTGCACCAGCTGGAGGGTTTGGTCCATACGGTGGTCCCGGTGCACAGTTTGGTCAACAGGGATATGGTGGATATGGTATGTATAGTGATTAAAAGTATTAAGCTATGCAGCTAGATAGATGTTTGGTTTTTAAAAGAAACTGTCTGTTTCGGTTGTAAGACTGTAGTCTTTGGAATAAGAACCGAGCCAGTTTTTATTATGAAGTAGAATAATATAGTTAGATTCTATATTGTGTTGACATGCTTGTATTTCATTGCCTGCTGTGATTATCAATTAGTGGGATAATTATCTTGTTTAGTTCACTGTTTGTCGACTTTGTTTTTGTGCTAAGCAATTGAAAAGTTAAGCATTTATCAACTCTATTCTTAGGAGTTTATGATCAAAAAACTGAAATACTCTTTTTCTTGTTATCACATTGCTTTTACAGTAAAGTGACATGGGTACCTTCAATTATTAATTACCTCAAAAATAAATAATTAAAATAAGTTTTTTTACATTTTTGTATTTGCTAGGTTCCTATGCATCTGGAAAATCAAAGATTTCATTAATGTTTGAAAAAAGTCAGGGAATTTGTTTCCTTGGTGCCTTATTAATTTTGTTTGCTGACAGTATGGCTGACCAAGTGTAGCTGTCTGTACTCAGCAAGAAGTATTATGCAACTTAGGAAAAGGAGGTGCAGAATATTTTTAGGGTCCAAAATTTCACTCAAACATACACAAAATTTCCTCAAAATTATAGCGCACAAATTATACAAGCACACAACAATATCAATTATTTTTAAATTTTAAAATACTTTTAGATTTTAAAACTGCTGTATTAATTATGCAGTATTATAAGTTTGAGAGAGAAAATCTAATACTTTTAATTAATAATCTAATGTTGATAGAGTTAAAATATTTCAAAAATTTTCATCTTTTGCAATTTACACTTTCAATTTGAGATGTTAATGAACTGGTGGGGAAAAAATGATAACAAAGAACCCCAAACATTATAAATAACTTAATATTAATTAGAATAGTATTAATCATCATTTTTCATTTTAATAATTTTGATGGCACAAGAAAAAAATTTCTGAAACTTTTCCCCAGTTTATTAATATTCTATAAAGTTTGGAAAATTTATTAAGGGACAAAACTAATAAATTTATACTTTTGTACATGCCAAAGCTATGAAGTCTTAGTTGAGTTAATAACAGGATAAATTGTTATTTAATAAAATATTTTAGTTTTCTGTAGAGAAGACATGCCATAATTCTGTCTTTCCTATTTTATTTTAAATTTTACTAATTCTTCAATTATAAAAAAATATAACTGTTAATTAGAAAAAATAACCAGTTAACAAGTTGGATAAGCAATAGAATATATGCATAGTAAGTCAAGTGATGTTTTATTTTGTTAATGTGCCATACCACAAGGGACATGAGGGTTAGGGAATTTTTACAAAGTTGGTCAGGGAAAGTTATGGAACTAAAACAAAAATCTGAGTAGGAACCCTGTATTTGCAAAATAATGCACATTTACTAGGAGAGGGGAAAATGAAGTAATATAAGGCAAACAAATAACAGCAACTTGTGTTGTTGAAAAAAGGAAATGGAATAATTATATTTAGATAGAATCTGTTATTAAACTATGAACATTGTTGTACAGTAGAGCATCGATTATCCAACTCAATTGGGGACTGGGGTTAGTTGGATAACTGAAAAGTATGAAAAAATACATTATTAGTATAATATATTAGTACTGTACATCCCATGTAATTAGTATATCACTCTTAATCTACTTTGCATTGAATTTTCATCAATGTTAAGCCTAACAAAATTTTTTTTAATAATAATTGTTGCTATTGTATCATTAAAAATTATTTTATTGCTCACAAAACAAACAACCGCTCATAATTAGAAAATTAAGCCTCTAAATACTGGCCACCCTTTTATGGTTGAGCCAGTGTTGCCAGCTGAAACATGCAAAAATTTAACAAAAATAGTAATAAAGTAGCCAAGACATACGGGACATTCCGATTTTCAACGCGAGTGTTGAAGTAAAAAATTTGACGTCATCAGCGACATTCCAACTCGAGTACAAAGTGCTTAGTTCCCGTAATTCCATTCAAATGTCCTACCAATTACCCACAATTCATTGGAAATTAGCGGTCAGCATGACTGTTGAGTGCTGAGTGTGTTGAGACAGCGCTGACAACAATGCCACTTCAACGTTGAAAAAAAGGAACGATTTTTAACGAACATTGAGGTCAGCGTTGAAAATTGGAATGTCCCGATAGCCAAATATTGTAGCGCCACATCGCTAATAGATATTTTAAATCTGCCGACTAGAATGGTTGGTTAACTGATGTGACGGTTGATCGGGGATCGGATAATTGATGCTCTACTGTATTTGTAACTCATTGAATGGGAAATATGCCTCTTGTGTTGCTTGATCTATATTTATATTGTAGTTTGAGTGTCATTTGAGGCAGAGATTAAAATTTAGAATTGCATCTCTGCAGTATGATATAGTATTACTGTTCTGTAAGCTAAAAACTTTACTTTGTTGGTTGAATAAACTTGACACCTGTAATTTGTAAAAGGGGGAAAATTTGACATTTTATTTCTTGATGATGATACTGGTAGCTAAAATAAATTATATTTTAAAAATGGCTGTTTTTGAAGTTGATTTTTGTAAATCAATATAATTGATGAGATAGTCATTAGTAGCATTTATTTATTTATTTTTATGTGTATGTGTGTATTAGAATACCATTTGATTCACATTTATGTTTTTGATAAAGATAATAGATATCATATTTCTGGAATTAAAAGATAAAAATAGACCCCATTGAGTATATTGTTTCTAAGAAGAAAAGTAGTTTGATTATTGGCTGACTGTAAAGAATCTATGGAAAGTTTAGGCATTTACAGTAACCTATAACAGCAAAAATTGGACATACATGTCCCATTAGCAGTGGTATTTGAGCCTTGAATAAACAAAAAATTATTTTGGAATTTTGCTGTTGATAGTGTTTGAATTATGTATACTCAGTGACACTGACTTCGAAAAAAGGTTTGCAATAAAAAGTGCTAATGTTTTTATGATGATAAAATAAAACCTAAATGTTGAAATGTTTATTAATGGCTGTAATACTGAGTTATGAAAAGTTTCTGCTGTCTTATGCATGTTAGCTTACAGTTAGCTCTATTTTTGGTTGTTTTTTTATTTTAGTTCCATTCAGGGTTTTATAAACAATGCTGTACTATAATTGTATATATTATAAACTTGTATAAATTTTTTATCTCAAAACTTAATAGTCTCTGTATATTTTCTACATTCTAATTTGTAATTTATTATGTAGTTTAAGCTGGGTAGCCACATGAGAAATTTTGCTGCACAATTTGACCACTTGGCACTGCAAGTGCACAACTAGAAAAAAATGCACATCTAATTCACACAGTTAAGCATAACTTAAATGCTTGAGCCAGATATATTTTTTCATCGTGAAAATCAGACACCTCTAATTGGCAACAAATACGATAGATTGATGTAATTTTTTACAAAATGGCTTGGTGGATGAATATATCAATTGAAAATGAGAAATTAATAGAAGTTTGGTTTTCCTGAAATTGTTTTTAGAAAAGTGGTGAAAAGGATAAAGATGGATTATTTTTTAAAATCATTTTCATGTATGTTTTTCCCTCCCACAAAGGATAAGAATGTTGCTAAGACAATTGCATTACAGTCATCCATCATTGTTCCTTCCTGATAGCATACAAATGAAGTGCAAATTGAAAAGTGGATATCAACTGTGAATTGTGCATGATTATGTTCTGGCTTGGCACAGCAAAAACCACTTATGTGGATACCAAGCTTCTGTTGTATGCATTTCAGAGAATTAACTCATCTACAAAATAGTTTTTTTTATTTTTTTATGTATTTTTAGCTTTTTAGATAATTTATAAATTGAGACTTAAAAAATGATCAAAGTTGTATTATTTAACTGGATAATTTGAATTTTGTAAACAATAATATTTTAGATAATTTAGGCAAAATAAACTAATGTTTGTAATAAGTATTAAATAAGTCAACGCTGACTTATTTAATACTTATTACATTATTAAGGAATATTTAAGAAAATTATATTAAGGAAAGTCAATAATTTTTATTGACTTTCCTTTCATACCTTTTACTAAAATGTATTAATATTTTATTTGAATGATTCTTTAGAATAGAAAATTGTTTCTAATGTTATTTTCTGCCTAAACAGTTAATCACTGCTGTGTTCTGAATGCAACTTGCAGATGCTATTTTGAAATTGCATTGCTGTCACCTAACAGCAAATGTCAAAACTATGTGAATAAGCATAGGAAACTTGAATAATGCCATGTGCACAATATTTTTCCTTTTAAATTTAAGTTTTTTCTTCTAAGTACAATTTATGTTTATCCTATTTAGTTCTTTGTGTGTTTGTATTGGTTTTATCTATATATCTTGCATTTTAACCATTGTCATTTCTATAATCATAAAATCATTGCCATACTTTTGAAATGTTACTGTATTTTAATTGTAGGAGGAACCGGTGCTCCAGGATTTGGAGGTTACGGCGGATTTACGGCTCCGATGGGTGGCGCACCAGCACCGGGAGGTCCTCCCGGCACGCAACCTCCAGCGGATCCTTTCAATCAGGCGGCGGTCACACAGGGAACAAATCCTCCTGCACCAGGTCAGCCGATGGGTACGGGCAATGCCGCTCCCACTGGTGCCGCACCAAATCAGCCACCTGGTCAGCAGACAGATTACAATTTCAGTAAGTAGTAATACATTTTAAATTTAAACATTTTAATTTTAAATGTATCTCAGCTTATATTATAAATATTAATAAATTAAGAACCTATTAAATTCAAGTGTTATGTCAATATTTAGACAAATTGTTGATCTCTAAAATTGAAGCTACATTTTTTGTATAATAGAAATCTAAATTTTATAGAAAATATAAAATGTTTGGGAAATGTGGTTAGTTTATGTAGCAATATATTATTATATTTTCTATTATTGAAATTGGGTGTTTAATTAGTATAAAAACAGTTAAGAATGCTGAGGTACATAAATTGTGATACAAGTATACTCCAACCTTTCAAACTCTGGCAAGAGGTTTTATTCTAATGAATTGAATTTTAAAGGTTGGATTTTATTTGTATCATTATTTTTCTCCAATTGCACATTACAGTACATAAATTGCAATTTGAATTTCTTATGTAGTTTGACCATTAGAGAAATATAATTCTTGCTTTCATAGAAAAATTGTATAAAATTTCATTTGGTAATAGACTTTTATTTAGTCAGCACTTTGCATTGCATGACTATATATTTTGTTTTTAACATTTGATACAAGATAAACATTGTTTAATATTTCTCATATTGGTATAATTTGAGAAAACTAAAAGTATCATAACTTCATAAATAACAAGCTATAATTTTCTTTTAATTCTACAATAACAATTTTTGTCTCATTTTAACAATATTAACATTCTGTAAAACATCAGTTAATTTCCTTTTTAATAATTAGAATGGTATTTTTGTGTACAGCGTTAATATTTCTAATTAAAAAAAGGCGTCAAAAATATGGAATGAATTTTCATGGCCTCCTTAAAGTAAAAATTAGAAGATTGTGGGATGATTTTAATATTGGATAATGAAAAATTAAAACTTTATAAAAAGAATTAGCCTTGAAAATTATATGAAATAATAATATATACTTTATGCTTTGGGTTAGATATTTACAAATTGTCAATGGTTCGTTTTAAATGCTTCTTTTATTATTATTATTATTTTCTTATCAAAATATATCTTATCTTATTGTCAAAATTCTTGTGAGATTTTTATTCAACATATTAATGAAAAATACCAGAGCATAATCTGACCAATCAAATCTCTTCAAAGTATGTTAAAGGGTTGAAATTTTTATGCAAATTAATTTAGAATTATTTTAACACGTGAGTTTGTATTATCATTTTTATTTCATATTATACAGTGTATCTATTAAAGAAAATATTAGTTTTAATTCGAGAATTTTATATTGGTTAGTAAGGAACTGTTTCTTTTACCAGGTTGGTCTTTGCAGGAAAATTGTTACGCACCATCCCTTTTTTCCCTTGTTTCAGATTTAATAACAGTTGAATTTAAATCCATTTTATAAAGTTTGAAGTTTATTGGAAGGAATTCAATAATCCACCATGACTAGAAGCAAAACGGATAAGATAAGTGGTAAAACTATATTAAACGTCAATATTTGCACACTAATAATATAACACTGGTTTACAGTAAGGATAGAGAAAGTATTTTCTTTGTTGTTATACTTTTGTTTATCTATTCGTTAAGTTTTTCTTTTGTTCTAGAAAATTAGTTTTTAGTGAGAATTCACTAGCAGAAACAAGATGTTTCAGAGAAACTTTGTGTAGAGTAAATACTGTTTTTCAATTCATAAGGTAGAATCAAAATTATGGCACAGGATTTATTACACAATACAAACTCTTATACGATATTATCTTCGTGTAGTCACACTTTGTGCAAACATTTGTATTTGAAATGGCAGATGTAATTTTAATAGGTTTAATCGACTTCACCTCTGCTGCCAATTGGAATCCGAGACTCTTCAAACTGCTCTAATTTTAGGGAATGGATAAAGATCTACCGTCTGCACGAAGTATTTCGGCGAAAGCAAGTAGAGTGGTACGAAAGTCATCCCTATTTTCCGGTCAATATCTCCTAGAAGGATGTGGCTGTGCTCCCCACTTCTTCGATCTTCTAACTTTTCTCCCAAAGAATTTTATCCGTTCCTTAAACGAAAGAGAAGTCGAAAGGTCGGAAGTTCTAATCGGCCGTACAGGTAGAAGCCGCAACACGTCCTTAGAGACGTGGCGAAAACACAGCTTCTACCGCTTGGCAAGCGATCCCATATCGAGAGAGGAGGGAAGCCGCATTTGAAAGTGATACTGTACAGTATGTACGTTAGCTTTTACACTGTATATTTTGTTTAATAAAACCTGTGCAAAACGTTTGATTTATTTCGACTACATTCTTGCTTTTAATGTCGTACCCACGCTGGTAGGATAGAATCTTCTATATATTTGAATTTAAGTGGCAGTAATCTTTGTCTTAGTATCGATATGTAATTGTTTTCTGGGTTATTTGCAAGTGCGTAGGAAGAACAATTGTCAGATTTCATCCTATCTCGAAAATAGGATACTGGAATAGAACGGTTAGGACTTTCCCGTTAAAGAACCTTACTTTATATTATGTTACGAAATACAGGATTTTTTACATAAAATGCGATAATTTTGTTTCGTAACACAATATGGTTCTGATAGGCTAACTCGGTTACGGAAAATTTTAGATTGAAGAACTATCTATTTATATGGACTTTTATTCTTCAGGTATGATGGGAAGTTATCCACAAGAAGCGTCTGGGTTTGGACCTTCTCGAGGTTACACTGGAGGTATGGATGGAATCTCAGGCAGTCAGGGTGAGTCGATTGCTTACATTAGATTCTGTTCCAACGCGTTCATAGCATAATCACATAAACGTCCCGCCGTCAATCGGTAACGAGAAAAAGCCTCGTCCGACGGGTGGTAAATTCGTTATTTGTGGGGAATTTCCCATTAGACGTTGTTAGGCGTACACGTCGATTTATAGGAAACGATTCTAATTTTTGCATTCTCGCCTTCCGTGCTCTTTTTTTAACTCATTACGTTTTTTTTCTGATTCTTCACTGTTTAAAGTTACTTATTTTGCATTATTGTGTGGCATTTTCATTTTTAAAGTAATTTCAATTATTAACATAGCTGCTCCTTAACCCACGTTTGTGCCAAAAGGCGTATATATTTGTTGGTAACGAAAGTTTTTAATTTATAAAAAAAATTTCCAATGGTTTCGGAACTTAGATTCGTCATACGTATTTCCGATTGGAAATACTTGAAAAAATTACTGGACTTTTTAACGCCATACTAACTTATGAATTGCTTCTCCACTAACACATATATATATAAATTATTTNCCATTTGCACTGTTAAGTGCATGCGAAGTACATTTGGATTCCTTTTCCATTACACCGCTCAAATTCATTAATGTATTAAAGATGGAATACAATGCGTTGAATACCTGTTAAAATAGTAAAAAGTTTAATTTAATTATTAAAGGGTTTCAAGTAACAAGGATCCTCGATACAGTTTACATAACAAAGTAAGGCTCGCTAGTAGTCAATGGACAAAACCAGTGAACACTGTCGTGGTTTCGCGCCTGACCAACGTACTGTACACGTTGAGTTCAACTTGGGTTTTTCGCGTGTTTAACGCTTAAACAGAGGCTAGTTTTGCATAGACAACCTCCTCTAGGCAAGCACATTTTTCTTGACAGATCGTTTAAGTATTGCTTTGTTCTATCTCTTTAATCCAAACAATCTGACACTACATTGTTTTAAAATTCTGTTAAATTCCATATTAGTGGTGGGTTCAACCAGTCCCGAAAGTAAGTGATAAGTGGTGAGGGACGAGATCGCACATATCTTGGACTGATCGCAAAAATTCATAGGAATTTGTAATGCTTGGATTTTATCCCAGTACTCCCAGAGTGGTAGGCACATGCCATAATAGCCTTAGCCATCCTGTAGTCTAACATATTTTTGGAAATATTTGTAAATTTATTTTTATTATTCTTGTTACGAAACTGTTATGTGAGGTTACTTGCAAATTATCTAAATGTTATTCGTAATGGACTTTATTAATTCGAAGAATGATGATCGATTAATTTTACGTATACGAAGAATTTTTACAAAACACTTTTAAACATTAAAGTTTTGTCCGGGTTATCGAAAAATATACTGGTTTATTGGTAGCAACTGCGGACCATTAATCCAAGTGCCTTGTTGACGAACTCGATTTTTCAGTTTCGTTTGTTTTCTACTAAATATTGCGACCGATAAAAATCGCAGTTTTAAAAGGTGCGACGAAATGTAAAATTAATATTTATTACACGTTTTAACGAAATGCGCGTAGCCGAACACCTTAAGAAACTTTTTAAAATGTTTCATTCGCGACTTTTTTCGTATCTAATCCCCGTACGACACGATGCATTTTGTAAAACAAAGGTTAGAGTGTGCCCGGCGTAGTGGCGTTTTTGCATAGAAAGGGACGGGTAGGGTGGAGCGTTACGCCGTAACGCTCACCTACTCGTCCACGACACCAGACGGAGGTCACCCGTTTACCGATGCGGCCGCCGTATTTTTAGACTAAATTACGTAACCCCGATAAATGCGGTCGTTAGATATTTGGATTAATACCGATAACGAATCGGGCCCGGCTAATTAATCTTTTGATGAAAAATATCGGCACCCTATCATATTTAAGCGTATACGGACGAAACAATTACGCGTAGGATAGATTTTATTTTATAGAAATAACTGCGGCGATATTGCCACGAAACGTCGGTAGGGAAGTGGAAACGATATCGCCCGTGTGATTAAACTGGAGGTATTTGTTTTTGAGAATGGCGAGCGCGGCAGGGAGTAACGAGTTTGTTTTTGTTTTGGCAGCCGGATTCGGAGGAGGAGGACAGGGCGACGGTCCGCACGTAGGAGGAAGGGGAGGAGGCCAGGCCCAAGGCTACCATCCGTACCGGCGAGTGTGAGACGGTTTCCGACGTCGTTCGTCCGACGAACCGTAATCTGTCACTGGAGGAACTCCGTTCGATTCGTTTGCTTGTGTCCGGTTCCAGTGCATTTTACCTAATATCTGAATGTTCCGTCCTGGGTTCCATCGCTTGTTCTCTCGTCGAAGCGGCAGACATCCGTTTTTAAAAATTATTGTGTACATCGACCGAGAAGCTCTCCAACCGTTACAAAACACGACAAAAAACAAGCAAATTTTTCGACAGTTTTAATGAAGACACGTAAATAAATACATGAAATTTTGATTATTTTGCACAAACCGAACTGTAAATCCTAGTGCATTCCAATATTTTTATTTGATATGGTGTCAGTATAAATATAAATATATATATATATATATATTATATTAAATGTTGACAAAAACTTGCGCTTGTCCTCTGGAATTCCGAACGGAATCCCTTTTAAGACCGACAGCGGGTGGGCCGCTCGGATCCGGCGGAAGTCCGTCCGGCCTCTTCCCCGCCGGATTCCGGATCGGGCGAGAAGAGGGGTGGGGAGGGGGGAGCGGGAGGATCTGGCCAGGAAGGGGGAAGGGGCTTCTTCCTCTCGCTTCTCTCGTCCGTGCCGAAGGGAGTCTTCGGGATTCGAATTCCCGCCGTCGAATCCGGGCCCTCGGCGTTCCTGAAAATAATGAAAATTAGCGCGGCGGTCGGGGGAAGGTTTATACCGGTGCTTCGGCATCGTGGAATTTTTCCGCGTTACGGATTAGCGAATACTCGAGATGTGGAATATAACGTCCGTGAAAAATTTGATTCGAAAATGAAGAGTACCTGCGATATCGCGCTAGTGTACACGGCATTCACCTCTCTGCTTAATTCGTGGTAGTCATTATTTTGACTACCACGAATTAGTTTTACTTATTTTAAAACTTTAGTATTAAATAAAATTAACTAAATCGCGCGCTTAACTTAAGTATTCGCCCATCTCTAACGTGGCTTAATTAAATCTTCAATACACCCATCGGAATCCGGTAATTCCGGCGACCAAAGCGAATTTAACCGGAACGTATAATCGTCGATATATCTAATTATAATTCTCGAAAAATCGTCGGCAGGGGGCTCTGGCGTATTTCCTGTGGATAAAATGGCGTCCCGTTCGAACCACATTACTAATGCATAAATCCATCCGATCGACGATTTAAACGTTTTTCCCTTTAAATTGATATTTACTGAGATTCGACGATATTTAATTACGTCGATCTTGCCACTTAAGTAGAGAAATTGCCGTTTCTAAAATGAAAGTGCTAAATGAACTTTTTAAATAGAACAAATTTTCTAATTAATTGTCTAAATTTAACTTTTAAATGAAGACAAAATGCGAATTTTTGTCGTTACGACCTGAAAATATTCGTATTAGATTTAACGAGTAAGTAAAGATTTAAATGCCGGTAGAGGGAGCCTAAGGCTTTGGTAGTCGTGCCGACGGCTGCCAACCATGTTGGTTAATCCCGAGGAAGATAGTCTGGCGAGTTACTTGCCTCGCATTTTTGCGGGGAAGGAAAATTAGTGGCTCGATTGCGTAAATGGTTTCGCAATTGAAAGAACGCTGCACCACAAAAAACAACAATGGAACTGAAACGTTCCCGTTTCCAGACCGCCATGCAACTGAAAATGAATTTGCTAAGGAGAACTTTGCCGTGAAAATTTTCTCCGTTGCATTGAAAGCATGCCTCGACATAAAAACGCCGTAATCAGTGTTTACTACCACTATTAAAATTTCAGCGTTTTCTATTTAGTAACAAAAATAACATTTAAATCAAAAATTCTAACCACGAAGTGGTGGTGGGAAATTTCAGTAATACGGAGGAAAAGATAGTTTCGTTGAAGGTTGGCAACGCGAGTTCCGGCAGTTTATAAACAATTGTATAGGAAATACGGGGTACGGCGTTACGATAAATTGAAATATTTAATCTCGTCTGGTGGGATTAGGCGGCGCGGGAGTTAGTTACCTGAGGCGTCGTCGTTGTCTGTCTTCCATCATGGCCACTCGGCGGTGGACCGCGGCTATCCGGTAGAGGAGGACGGTGGCGGAGAGTAACAGGAGGGCCAACCTGGGGAAGAAGACGGGCCGATTAGCGGAGGCGGGGAGGAAGAAGAGCGCTCCGACACTTACAGCACCGTGGTCAGCAGCAGCAGCAAGGTGGTCCCGGGTAACCTGCGAGAGCAGACGATCAGCCGAGAAGAGCGAAAACGGAAAGAAATTGCAAAAGATACCTGTACAGGCCGGAAACCATTTCTTCCGCCTTGCCCAAGTAACCTGAAAATCGAGGGAGAAAAAATTAGGACGACGAAGGGAGAAGGCCGGCGGAGGACCGTCTGAGTTTACCTCTGGAGCCCGACCGGCGGCAGCGGAGCGGACGTATCTCGGAATCCGTGTTGGGACGGACCGTGGGAAGCGACACTTCCGAGATTCGGCGGCAGGCGATTCCGGAGACGGTCGACATTCGTCTAAGATGATTTTCCGAAGCCACGCTGTCTTCGTCTTCCGTCACGTTCTGTAAAATAGGTGAAAAATGGCGCCGAGTAGTCTTTCCCGGCCAAAGACAAGTTAGATAATACTCACCGGAAGCATAGACGACGTGTTTCCGCTTTCCGAGTCTTCCACGGCGCTCAACTCCTAGCGAAGGTCAAGAAAATGGTAAAGTAAGGAACGGTCCGCGTGACGGGAGAGAGATATATACTCACGGCGTCGGCGGAGGAGAGCCAGATGCTTCTCATCAATTGGAAGGTGGACGTCCTGGACAACAGAGATCCGAAAACGTACTGCCACGAAAACGGACGATGAGTGGGACGACCTCGAGGCGGGTCCAAAATCGACCTTACCTTTTCCTCCTCGGTGCTGATTCCCACGGCGTTCGGAATGATCCTGGCCGTGCATTCTTTCGACACTTCCACCACTTCTCGCACCGGAATCAGGATCTGTTCGCCCAAAAGTGAACTCGGTTACTACGTCTTTGGCAACAATACCGAAGATTCTCTGCAGTATGACTCCTCGATAGAACTAAAATGGCGGTTTTGTAATAGCCATCGACAAAAATCTCGCGGTGGCGGGACAAAGTCGTCTCTAGCATATGATAGCGGCGCTTCGTTTTTATCGCGATTTGAAGTTCTCTCTGCTGCTCTGGTCCTATAGCTCATTTCGTTTTCGGTGCGCTTACGATTCGAACGTGGCTTTTTTCAGCTTGTCTCGAAATATAGAATAACTTTCTATTTCGATTATTATTATTATTTAAACAGTAAATGTCGTCGGCGATCCACTTTCTACACGAACGAAATGGAAACATTCAAGCAGTTACGAACGCGAATTTGGTAGCGAGCGATATAGTTCTCGCAAAGGAAACCACGCACAAGCGAGAAATACCGCTGGCGAGAGCGAATTTCTGGTTCTCGCACGTATCTGACAGGTTTTGATATTTATCGCGTCTCGCCAAATATTTTCTCTCTCTCGCGTCTGCGTAGTCGCACCCTTAGTGCATAATTGTCTAAAAGGTAGAAAAGATTAAATTAGAACAATCGTATTAAAATGGGAAATTATATGAAATCATTTTTTTAAAATGCCTAAAATTTCAGTAGTTGAAGTTGTATACAATTTATACACAAAAATATTTTTGAGGTTGGAACGTAACTGATTCGTGTACGACGTAATTTGTTCTCCGTTTACCACGCTTCCTTTAGGTACAGCGGGTAACCCCGTCTTAAATAGGGGTTGTCCTAATTTTCCCGTGCCAAAATATTTCTTAAAGAAAAAGCAAAACGAAAATAATGATTAGTCCTTTCGTGGATAGCGTTGGCATTCGAGAAACATATTTAAAAACAGTACGCGAAAGGGATCCATTTTCTATCCTCGCTTTGTATCGGAGTTATCCAGAAAATGCCACAGTCTGGTCGGAGTAATACGAAAATTCGTTTACGACTTTTGTATTCTAGCGACAATATCCGGCAGATTCTGGGGATAAAATACAAAATGGCGGCTAGAAACTTTTAGCGGTAATTAAAATTTCGTTAATCGGAAAATTATTTTATATTAAAAACTTTTAATTGGAAATATCGATCGCGCCAATTTGCTCCGATATTAATTTTCCGTATACTTCCCCCTCCCGTTAATTAGTTTAAAATTCGACAAAGCGGGAATCGCCGCGCTTCGCCTTAAATACGGTCGGTTACCATTACGTCACGAAACAAATCGCGCGGTCGGTTAGTGTTACGAGTCGTGGCAAAGAAGGAATTAATGGTAATATCTATATTTTCGCAAACCAAAATTTTAAGTATTAAAAATTAATTTGGTCGATGTTAATCGAGTCCATAAATTTTTGTGTGTTTGCGCGTCAATAAGCTGTTACGAGAATTGTAAAGCAGCCAAGCGTCATTAACGATCGTCTTTTAAATAATTATTATAAACGAGTGTTTCCGAATTGAAAGAATTAACATTTTTAAATCTCCGTCGACTGACGCTCCAGGAAATTAAGCTTATTACGAATTATCCACGCCGCAGTCGATACCGGCGACGCGGGTTATTGGATTAGCCACGGCGACGTCGAACTCTGACCACAACCAGTAAAAGATCGGAAAGGTCCGAAAACGCTTCTTCGTTGCGCGCCGTCTATGGAAATTACAAAATACTTTCCAATTTTTACCATTTCTAATTAAAATAGGGTTTTAAACTTATTTTTGCAATTTAAAAATTCCGCTTTCGCACTTACTTCGGAGCTTCCACCGCGCGACGTCCGTCCGTCTACCTGTACGTCGTCGTTTTTAAACTCATCCCTGTATCGTCTATTCTCACCCATTTCCCTTCAATAATTATTCCGAGCCCATCGTCTTCTCGTAGAGTCGCATTCTTCCTCAAAACGGGACGAGTTCAAAATTTGCCATTTTAATCGTTTTTACCAGTTTCGCGCCGCCTTAATAGTCGCCAGAAAAATTTTCGAAAAGTTAAATATGTAGCCTATATAATATATAAAAAAAGGATTCCTTCCAACCAGTTACGTTGCCGCCTCCCGCACCTAATTTAGTTGGCAGACCCGACCTTTGACCTAGCGAACGTATTTAGTCACGCCAGGATTTTTACGTTCGTCTCTAATTCCGAAAATTGGATCGAAAACGGAAAATTCGATAAAACATCGGTCGAAATCGTTAACGGAATGGCATTTGTGGCTGGACATTTTTAGCCCATCCGCCGCTTCCTGCAATTTTTTACCAGGATCTTCATTTTCCATCGAATACGTTGGTACTTTTGTCTCGTTCGTTAAATTTCTCGGCATTCGTCGTCGTCCCACGCTTTTATATCTATCGTCGGAGAGACCGTAATTGCGGCGGCATCGAAGCGTAGCGTTAATCGCTCTCCGTCCATAACGGGTTACTTATTCCGTTCAATCGAGCGAGAATTACGATAAGCCGGAGAGCGAGCGCGCCATCGCTTACTTCTCCTACCGAAGTAGAAATTTAATCGTTCGTCACCCGACGACGTCTTTAAAAGTTCGGAACCGGAAACGAGCGGAATTTCCATCGAAATTTTAAAATTATAGCGGTAGCACCGCTCGGTGTGGAGATAAGAATCCCCCTCAATTTCTCCAGAGACACGTAATAGAACTTTAACGTAACGTTAACGGGAGGATCTTTCCAGTCGCGCACCCGTTTCTTTGCCGAGATTACGAAACGCCACACAGTAATAACAATTAGTGCGGATTTCAAAATGTCTTTTGTACGACATTTACGGAAGGATAGGTCCGAGTTAGGCCGAAACTTTTGATAAATTAACGCGTGGATCGATATCGTTTTATCCATTTAGAGGTTACGCGAGTAAAGAGAGCGTAAAAGTGTCCGAAAATATAGCTGTAAATATGGTGGTAGAGACAGTAATTAACACGTAACCAAGTGTTGGGAACCGTGTCAACCGCAACCAATCGGCGTCGGTTCTTCCCTTCGTAATGGCCGAGCGATAACTTTCACCAAATCTCCAAACTCGAATAACCTTTCTGGTAATAAATGTATCGACGTGGCGCGGTAGGCGAAAGACCGTCCTCTCCCCAACACCAGAATCGAGAAGGAAGGAGACACGTGACTAAAGGGAATTTTTAGAGAAATAACCGGGCGTTTTCGGAAGATTAAGGAATAATCGAGTGCGGAAAACCCGGATTAAAGTACTTTCGCGGAAATAAGATTTTACGCAAGGCCGAGCGCTTTTCCTTGATTATTATTATTAATGTTTCTATTGTTAGAAAGTAGTTTTTATATAACCCGAGATCCGCATTAAATATGAAAGATTTCCTGGAAATTCCCCCATTTTTAGAGTAAAACGCGTAAATTACGTATCGATCCGTATCCCGGGGAGACCGCGAAATCGATTCGACTCGGAACCTTTCCAAAAATTTGGCGATTTTCGATGGCAAAACCCGAAATATCCGGAGGAAAAATCGCCTAAATTTTGGATTCGATTTCGATCCTCTTTTCCGGTAACTACGTTACGTGTGGATGGAAGCGATTTAATGGGAGATGCGAAATTTTAGAATGGAGAGACATTTATCCTTAGAGAAGGCGCCATTTTGCTACGAGACGTAAAAAGTAACGAAAGGAAACGGACAGAGATCTTCGTCCACTTCTCGGCACGAGGACGAGGAGGAAAATGAGGATCGCCCATCCTCGTCTCCGTTCGATTCTGCGCACTCGTCGGTCGGGTGCGACTTCCGGTCGCGAACGGAAGCGCTCACCTGAGTCTTGTGTCCGAAGATGTTGGAGTAGAAGGCGAAGTGGTTCTCGGTGACGTAGAGCTGACCCTGAAGCAGGATGTCGGCCAGAAGGGCGCACGAATAGTCTGCGGGAAGAAGGCGAGAGGTGAAAAGACGGCCGCGGGAGAGAGGGAGGGAGGCGTCGGCGGTACTCACAGTCCAAGAGGGGTTCTTCGGGGTCCACTTGGGGGAATCGCCGGTGGAATCGTTGTCCGTGCGATTTCCGCAGGCGCGACTGAGTGGAGGGTGCGGGAGAGGGAGGAGGGACAGTCGGAGAAGGGCTCGGCATCTCCAAACCATCCTCCGTCGGCGGTGCGACCGAAGAAAATACCGTTTCGAGTCCGGCCAGAGATCGACTGCCGACGGGTCTTCCGCCGCCGGAACTACAACTCTCGCGTCGCGTCGGATCGATCGTCACGGCTTCCGGTCTTCCGCCTCCCACCGCCGCCGTTCCGACGATTCCGGCAAACGTAATCGCTTCGGATTTCGCCGCAAACACAAAGCTAAGGCGGATTGTCGCCTTCTCCGGGTTTGTCTTCCGGAAAATCACTCGCACCCCTTTAATCCGAATGGACGATTCTCCCGGACCGCTCCTGCGTCGAGAGTCTTCCTCGACTCCGCTCCCGTCCCAAATCGTCCGCCAATTTCTATTCATCTGTTTTATCCTTATCGAGTTGATTTAATTCGGGACGCATTCCGATTCTCTTCCATCGGGATTTAAGAGTTTTAACCCGCAATCGTCTGTTCTTTTTGTAAACAACATTTAGGCTTACGTCGCTTTGGATTCTGCACCTAGATTTTGCCATTCTTACGAATTAACTGTATTGATTCGAATTGCTCCATTTCATTTCACCACATTCCTATTTATCGCATTTCACGCCATTACGCCAACGTCTAATCCACTCGAATACGCCAACTATAACAATGCGCGCTCTCGATTTTCTAGGGAAGTTAAAAAAAGAAAACGTTTCTATTTCGAGGCGATCGATTGGCTTTTCGACGTTTAAAATAAAGATCGCCGCGACATTTGACCGAGTCGTTCCGCTTTGCGCAGAACCCGTTCGTACGGTTGCGGGGTTTTGCATCCCTCTAGCGGAGAAAATCAAAAATAGGAAAGGAATTTTGAATTATCTCGAGTGGTTACGCGAGAGTTTGTAAAAGTTTTTCGATAGTAAGATTCCCTTTTATCTTCCTCCCTCGCATTATTATTATTATTATTATTATTAAAGGTATTAAACTATTTTCTACTTTTAAGATGGCAACGCGTTTCGGATATGTGGAGAGAAAAAGCTGGTTACGGGCAATTCGTTTACCGATACGTCTCGAAAGAGTTTAATACGAGTAAAATATAGCCCGTAAGAGTTGAAAAGATCTCGACCTGGCTAAAAACGAAAGAAATTATCATAAATTACGATTTTCTTGCCACGGGATTTGAGTTAAACCGCTGTAAGTACGAAGTACGCGGAGGAGAAGCGCCAAAGTTGACAATTCTGATACAAATCAACGTTTAAATATTCGAACATCTCTAAAAAAATAATAGCGAAAGGTGTAAACGGTAAAACAGGGGTGTCCAACCCTTTGGTTCTCTGGGCCGCATTTGAAGAAGTCGCGGAGTTCTGGGCCACAAATATATTGTGACCCAATTTTTAAATATACAAATATACTTAAGGTTTTGTGTGTCTAGATTTTGTAATAAAGTTTTAATACTTATTACTATAAAGGATATTTTAAAAAATTACTTTTACAGAAGCTTTTAATTTCTACTTAGAAATAGATCATTTTATTTATTATAAAGAAGTCAAACAAAAATTTATTTGAAAAACACAAATATTTGTTTTATTTGGGTCTTTAATTAATAAAACAACAACGAAACACCATTTAAAGTGCATTTTTATTTAACTAATATATTTATAAATAATATGTAGCCAATGCGTCAAATGGTATTTTTTACGCAAACTAAAAAAAGGGTAGCCAAATTTGGCACAAAGTAGCCAAATCTTGCAACGCTGAAAGGAATATTAAATAAAGCTAGAGTTGGGATTCAAAGGATTATAGTCCCAAATTTGGGGAAAAAAGAGAAAGGTAAAAACATAAAAAAGTGAGAAAGGTTAAATAGACCTTCTGTTATGCAAATATTGATCCTTAATTTTCCAACCTTTCTCACTTCTTTTTATTTTTTGGCCTTTATCTTTTTTCCCCGAATTTTTCGCTATAATCCTTTCAGTCACGACTCCAGCTTTATTAAGTATTCCTTCTTCATTCATACATTACAAATATTTGAAAATACTTCCTTTCTATTAAAAAATAAAACATGTATAAAGGCTTACGGCTTTGTAAAAAAATTTTTTTCGAGGTTTATGCCGTTGAAATAACTAAATAATTTAAAAATTTGTCGGTTTTGTTTACACGTTTATTGGGCCGCATTGGAACTTGCCTTGGGCCGCCGGTTGGACACCCCTGCGGTAAAACTATAGTAAAGTTCGGAACGAAGAGAAAAGGAAACGAGTTTCTCACGAAGGAACGAGAAGTTAAGACTGGTAAAATGCGATTAAAAATGGAGTCTATAGAGAGTTCTTTTGGGCTGTCTAATCTTATTTAAATCAGAATATTTCGTAAGAATGAGACACTACCAACCTATCAATTACAGCGAGTACCGCCGAGGGTCGCGCTCTAATGACGCTTCTCGGAATATTGTTCTCGGCGTTTTACGAGGAAACTCGATGGCAATTTGTTGGTTTTCAATTTACAGGTTTGTGCCAGAATAAATCGAAATAAAAATCGGCATTGAAGTTATTTTGCCTAAATATATACGATATAAAATTGATAGAGATAATAACGTAACGATCAAAATGCGCCAAAATAGTTCCGCAGTAAGTCTACGACCGCCGTAATCCATTATTTTGTCTATTTTTATTCGCACGCGCTACCTTACGATCGAAAGTAGGACATCTGTTTCGGATTTTTTTAATTCCAAACGTAACGCTTTCCCGGATTGGTCGAACGTCGAAAATTCCTCCGATCGATCCGTGGCATTCGAAGGGTTCGTCCGACTTTTGTTTCTAATTACGAAAGCGAAACGTTGCCACGAATACAAATCGAGGAATATTAGAGTTTTCAAAGATTATTTTAATCCGAGTAGTAGACAAAATAAAATCATTATACGCCAATTAATTGCGCGAATGGATTTTGAATGCAATTTTTAGAAATTGTCGTTTTTCTTTGTCTTTTTCGAATAAAATTTAAATCAATTATTGTACTTTTGCCCACGTTTCTGCCCTTACTCGCAGCTTGCGCCAGGAAAATGCAAATTAAAATAACGAAAAACGCATTCTTTCTGTTAGAACAGTGTACCCTTTACGTCATTTTGACGTAATCTCGTTACGACAAAGTAGAAACGATGCCGAATCGACATTAAAAATGTAAACTATTATGGCAAAAACCTCAAAGTCGTCTATCGGTGGAGGTGAATGGTTTGTCGATCCGAATCAAAAATAATTTTGAAGCTTTTTAAATCTACAGTCCACGATATATTCGAAGTTGCGAGAAATATTTAACTTTCTGGAATATACTATTGAATTTTAATGCGAGTTAGCTGCTAAGGAGAAACTATTTACCAACGATCGCCTCCTCTTTTTCTCGCTGTTGAGGGGGATCCGAAATCGACGACTCAAAATTTGTTTCGTTAATTTAAACGTCTGTTTATTTTTTACATCGGATCATTCGGCTAATCAAGCCGCAATCCGATTCGTACGAGTCCCTGATTAACCAATAGGAAAACAATACTCTCGTAATTGGCAGAAAACTCCAGCGAAACGTTTAGAACTATTGGTCAAATTATAGTCTCGCTTCTTTTCCAGTTTCGTTCCCCGAACGAAACTGGAAAAGAAGCGAGAGCGTATACGAAAGAATGGTAAACAAAATTATACAAAAAATACCCGTAGTTGAAATTTTGAATAAACGAAGAGATGAGAAAGAAAACGAAAGAAGATTTGAAAAAATGTGGCACTCAAAGACCAACCGTTTCATCTTCTATTTTTACATTTTGTTTAAAAAATATACACAGATGGAAGAAAATTCGTAATTTCTTAATAGTTCGATTCGATGTGACGTGGGGAATCCTACGAGAAAATAACACGTAACTCTTCTCTATCGTATAAATGGGTTCTGTTATTGGTCGATAAAACTCGGACCGAGCGCTTCTAGTGCCTAAGAACCAAGATAAGGTCAACAACGTGCAGTACTTTACAATATTCGTAATTAAGAGCGCGCGATCTTCGGAATCGGAAGAAGACGGCAGAAATAAGTGAAGTTTTATAAAATGTCCAAAACCAATTTGTATGCGTCTTCTTTCTGAATATTCCAAGCGCCGAGACAATACGAATAACATTATACTCCAAGTGCAACGACCTTCTGGTGGTTAATGGTTAGAAATGGTGGAACGGAGAGCGCCAATGAAAGGTCGATGCACCTAAAATTTAGTGTCACTCCCGTTATTTTTATTCATGCAAATTTGTAGGAAAAGGTTTTTCTGGAATTTTTGGGAAAAGTCTCGAACGTGGACGTGTTTATTCTTAAAATTTGAGTCTCGAAAGCTTGTTTGATTTGTATTTTATCAATAAAAGGGTTCCGACTATCGAACCAGCCAATCGATGAAACAGTTTAACGCAACGCTGCGATCGACTGGAGGTTAATTTAAATTAATTACGCAAACTCGATACTAGTCCGTGTGTGTAGAATTGTCGTCTTTGTAGGATGCAGTCCTTCACCGGACACAAAGCTATCGTAATCGGTTCCAAAATGGTCTCGGTTAATGGATGGTGAAGGACGGAACGATGTATCGATTACTTGAATAATACACTTCGATAATACATAATCTTTTTTGGCAATCTCCCAACCCGCACTTAACCTTTTATAAAGTATTAAATTCGAGTTTTCCGTTGCGAACTTTTAATATTTAAAACAAAAACTTATGAAATTCATTGGTTAATTCAAAGACGAATAAGGCTAAAAGTGGATCCGCTATCGGATGTTAAAAGCCAACGCTACACCTCGTCCACACGAGATGCACGTAAAGAGAAGAACGGAAAATGCGGAGATAAATAATTTGTTCTATTGAAATAATACATTGAAAATCGCTAAGATTTTTAATACCAGCAAAACACGAGATTAAAAACACGTAAAACAAAGGAACTAAGTTAACTTATGTTTCGAGCATTGAGTCTGAAATCCCTTATGCCAAGTAGTCTGTACGAAACATACGTAGGCTAATTTCGAATAAAATAGTCGTTCCTTCCTTTATCATTCTAACGACAATTTTTTGTGCACTTAAACACGACATCGCTCTTAGTCTAAATAATTAAAATGAATATAATAGCTCGAGTTAAATACTTGGCACACCCTTTACTGTGCTACGCTTAACTTTGTGATTCTACCGAGATAACGTGCCAAGTATTTAAGTCGAGATATATTCATTATATGATGAATTATTTAACTCGAGAATGATACAATGTTTAAGTATAAAAATACCTTTTGTTAGTACCATCGAAGAGCGAGACGAGTATTTATTAATGTACAGTACAGTACTTAATTTTTTCGTATAGTTGACATCACATTCTGGTTTCGTTATTCGTGTATGAATGCGTGATCTATGCAAAATAGATCACCGTACAGTCTACTAATTACAGTAGATGATAGACTTAAAGTGGATACATTTGTCTTACGCTGTAAACGCTTTCTCTATTGGTCGTAGCTTCTGATGACAATTTTATTTCTTGCCCAAAAAATATAATCTGTAGCCATATCTTTAGTTTAAATATTTGTCTCGTGCAGCGTTTTCCATCCTGGGACGTTACGGAAACGTGCTTACCAAAAAATATTTTTTTTGCTCGATGGAGTAGTGTGTGAAGATCCGTGGCTTGCCGGAGGGCACAGTGGATCG